AAACCGATATCCATTTCAAGCCCACCGACTCCCACAGCTACCTAGAATACACCTCCTCCCACCCACTTTCCCGCAAAAATGCCATCCCCTATTCCCAATTCCTTCGCCTCTGCCACATCTGCTCCCAGGATGAGGCATTCCACTCCTGTACATCTCAGATGTCCTCGTTTTTCAAGGACCGCAACTTCCCCCCCTCAGTGGTCAAGAACGCCCTCGACCCTGTCTCCCGCATTTCCCGCAACTTATCCCTCACACCCCCTCCCCGCAATAACAACCAAAACAGAATCCCCTTCATCCTCACGTACCACCCCACCAACCTCCGGATCCAACGCATCATCCTCCAACACTTCCGCCATCTGCAATCCAACCCCACCACCAAAGGCATTTTTCCCTCCCCACCCTTATCTGCTTTCCAGAGAGACCACTCTCTCCGTGACTCCCTTGTCCGCTCCCCACTCCCCTCCAGCCCCACCACACCCGGCACTTTTCCCTGCAACCGCAGGAAGTGCTACACCTGCCCTTACACCTCCCCCCTCAGCACCATCCCAGGCCCCAAGAAGATTTTCCACATCAAGCAGATGTTCACCTGCGCATCTGCTAATGTGGTATACTGCATCCGCTGTTCCCGTTGTGGCCTCCTCTACATCAGGGAAACCAAGCGGAGGCTTGGGGACCACTTTGCAGAACACCTACGCTCGGTTCGCACTAAACAACTGCACCTCCCAGTCACGAACCATTTCAACTCCCCCTCCCATTCCTCAGATGACATGTCCATCCTGGGCCTCCAGCAGTGCCACAGCGATGCCACCCGAAGGTTGCAGGAACAGCAACTCATATTCCGCTTGGGAACCCTGCAGCCCAATGGTATCAATGTGGACTTCACAAGCTTCAAAATTTCCCCTCCCTCTACCGCATCCCAAAACCAGCCCAGCTCGTCCCGTCCTTCTTCCCACCTATCCCCTCCTCCCACCTCAAACCCTACCCCATCTCCTACCTACTAACCTCATCCCGCCCCCTTGACCTGTCCGTCCTCCCTGGACTGACCTATCTCCTCCCTAACTCCCCACCTACACTCACCTTTACTGGCTCCATCCCTGCCTCTTTGACCTGTCTGTATCCTCTCCACCTATCTTCTCTATCCATCTTCTATCCGCCTCCCCCTCTCTCCCTATTTATTTCAGAACCCCCTTCCCCTCCCCTATTTCTGAAGAAGGGTCTAGGCCCAAAATGTCAGCCTTCCTGCTCCTCTGATGCTGCTTGGCCTGCTGTGTTCATCCAGCTCTACACCTCTATGAGTTTTGTTCTTTGAGGCAGAATGTCGCAAATTCTTTTATGTCAAGTCAGACTACGTTATGTAGAGTTGAATAGCGTATGCAGTACAACTAGGTGCAACTCGCTAACGTTAGTGTTTATGCTCCACACATGCCTCCTCCAGCCCTTCTTAATCTTACCCTATCACTATATCCTTCTACTAAATTCTCACTCATGTACTCACCTTGTTTCCCCTAAAATCCATCTTTGTCATGCATCTCAACTGTGTCATGTCATCACAGATTCCACATTTTAAATATTGCCCATCAAGATATAAATGACAGTTCATGTGAGGAGCTGGCCTGATTTTCAAGAGGTTTCTAAATTGTACTTTAATGGTAAGCTGAACATAGCTCAACAGGAATATGTAATACTCTTAATTCTCACCTGAAGACTCACAGTGGGCAATGATATCGCTCAGATACAATGGTCAGAATCCTATCAGGGTCTGACTGGTGTGGAAAATGGTGAAATTTGTAGTAGATATTGCCAAAGTGGAGAGAGTTTAGGAAATATTTACTAGGATGTCACCAGGAATGGAAGATTTGAGTTATAGGGAGAGGCTAATAGGTTGGGACTTTTTTCGCTAGAGAGTAGCATGTTGAGGGAGTGACCTGATAAAGGTTATAAAATCATGAGGGGGTATAAGATATGGTGAATGGCATGTGTCTTTTTCCTAGAGTGGGGGATTTTAAGACTGGGAGCATATTTTTAAGGTGAGAGGAGAAAGATTTAAACAGGACACGAGGGGCAAAGTTTTGTACGCAGAGAATGGTTCATGTGTGGAATGAACTCCCAGAGGAAGTGGTGGATGAGGGTGCCGTTGCAATGTTTAAAAGACATTTGGATAAGTACATGAATAAGAAAGGTTTGGAGGGATATGGGCCAAGATAGTAAAGTGGGACTAACTTAGTTTGGGATTAAGGTCTGCATGGACTGGTTGGACCGAAAGGTCCGTACTGTACGATTCTATGAGAAGTTGGGCAAGAGCCATCCCACCATCAGGAACAATACGCTGCACCTTTTTTGCCTTTGTCAAGTGACAAGGTGAGTTTCTCACTGGGCAGTGATGAGTTTCCAATTAACTGGCCTTATAGCTTGTTAAGCCTCTTATTAATGGCCCGACTTGCTTCATTGATATTCAGCTTCCTATCATACTAAATGTGCTGATTAAGGTGGACGTCAAGAACATCTTGACACGGAAGTCAGGGCGTGGCGCCTGGTGACTTTCAGCTCATCTTTGGCTTTGAAGCGCTTCTGTGTTGCTCAGCATCAAGCAACATCCCAGGGCACAATCCATGGGCGCCAACCGCATGCAGCCCTCACCCACCAGCACTGGCATCCAGCATTTGCCAACCCCTCGGGGGCATCGGGGCACTTCTCCAGCCCATTTGCATAGGCTTGAATTGCAGGCGGTGGACGCTGAATAGCTGCTGCAAGGACACCTCACGTGCAGGGACAGGCACCCAGCCTCACACCGTAAACCTGGCTGCATCTCGAAGCTGCCCAGTTCCTCTCTTAGCACTGGCTCACCAAACGCCTGCCTCTGTGCGCACTGTATCCATGCCTTGCCTTGCCTTGCTGTACCTTGTCAGGCTAATTAGCGCAGTCAAAATAGTTCCAAAAAACTGCCCATCAGCAATTCTTAAAGAATGGGGAGCTGGTCTGAGAACAGTGTATGGTAAGGTGGAGATTGGATTCGATGTGGGATGGGATGCCGTGGGGGCAGGGTAGGTAGTTAATGAGGTGTGTTTGATAAGACTTGGCAAGAAATCTCAATGGGAGTCGTGGAGAGAATTCTCAAACAATCTGACTACGGAGCCAAAAGAAGCAAAAATCGGTCGAGTGTGACTCGCTATTAACTTCTACGCAACAAACCTACTGGTTTATCAAGACCGAACCTATCTTCTATGAAGAACATGGGGATGGAACCTTCCCAGGCCCTGAATGAACATGAACTTTGGCGAGAAGATTGGGAAGAGCTTGTAAGATGGTCAGTGAGGAGCTTCTCCACAACAAGAGGCAGAAATAACACAGTGTGGATCTGGAGGATCACAGCAGGCCAGGCAGCATCAGAGGAGCAGGAAAGCTGACTTTTCAGGTCAGGACCCTTCTTCAGACCAAGAGCCAGAAACCCTGTTTTCCAACCAGGTGTTGAACGGCGAGATGAGATTCTCACCTATTTGCGTGCGTTAACGTCTCATTATTACTTAACTTCAGCTCATTGTTTTGCCATTCCCCATTCTCCCACTTTCCACATAGAAAACAGACAGCGACAATTCCAGCCATGGATAATTAGAGTGATCACCTGGTCACTCCGGCTTTCCGCTTGCTTTTCCAGACATCCGCCTCGGAGCATGATCCACGAGCAGTGACCGCGTCCGTCCCTCCCAGGCACAGACCTTGTCATCAGACACATACCAGCTTCATTTCACCATCATGGCAACATTTCCCGCTCAAGTTAGTGCTGTCCAAGTTGGTCGGGGGTGTGGGGTGGAAGGGGTGGGGTGTTGGGGGTGCGGGTGGTAAGTGGTGGACCACAGTCAGTGTTACAGAGAGGGGAATGAAAGTCAAGGGGTTTGCCAGGGATAGAACTGCTGTGGTAGGGGATTGGAGAAATTCAATGCTGGGGTGTGGAGATATTGCGCGGGAGGACATGCGATACTGTGGGAGGGAGACTATTCCGCAGACACCACTGTTGTGGCCTCAGCTGGGGGAGTGTGCAGGGTGGGTAGGGCTAAACCGTAGGGCAGGAGTTCAGGCAGCAAGGATGAGAGTTGCAGTCATTATTCCAGGTAGTGCGTGGGGACATGAGGGACAGCAGTGGTGCTAGTGTGTCTAAAAAGGATATGAAGGTTCAGGAGCACCTCTTGATTATCAGGTAGAGCCTGCGACTCTTGGTGCCGAAAGCGGACTGCATCGCCTTCCATATTCGCTTGACTGCTCAAATGTGAACTACAAATTGAAAATAGTTACGACAACACTTGGAGTGGGCGGAGTCAGTGCTATCTCATTCTGAGCGACAGGAGAAGCTTCAAGGGGCCAACTGAATTAATCATGCACTTGCAGTGTGCAGCTTGAAGACTTCTGTAATCGCAGCATCCTGCATGCGAAGTGTATGCATCGTGGGATATAAATCCTGGTCACAAGCACAATCTCAACCACATCCTTGGTCATTGCTGACTAGTCCTGCCTATGAATGAAAAGTAATCATAGGTGGCCTCAAAACAGGCACCCGTGGGTCACAAAGAAGCTACAAGATCTCATAAGCTACACAGAATTGATTCCTCTCATCTTGAACTGTAAGCATGCTCTCATGATACCTTTCTTGGGTAATGTGGACTAGGAACACAAGGTCTCAGTATTCATGAATTTCTGAAGAAGGATCTAGGCCCGAAACGTCAGCCTTCCTGCTCCTCTGATGCTGCTTGGCCTGCTGTGTTCACCCAGCTCTACACCTTGTTGTCTCAGTATTCATGCAGTATTTACAATCCCCTCCTGTCTCATTGTAACATGACTGGTGCTATATTCATGAGAATAAGATTCCTGTATCAAAGGTGTGTGTCCAGGCATTCCATTGCCCTCCTTTGGAGGTGTGCCACTATATGGGAGGATAAATTAAGTGGACACTGTGAATGCTGACTGCATACATTTCTCACGGCCTGTTCTGTTCTTTATGTTGCCCGCAGGTTGATTGCAAGCGTGAATGATGGATCCGACCACAACAGGGTTTATCGTTGCCATTGCCATGATACAGAGAAGGCGCAGAGAAATGGAAGAGGAATAGTTGGTGCAGCAATCTCTAACAGCTGCTGAACAGCCACCATGTGAAGAGATCCCAGCCGGAGGTGCCCTCAGAATGTGCGGGAGGTACAGGAAGCTCAGAGTCTATCATCCTCGATGCCATTTCCTACAGATGAGTGAGACGCAGTGTTGCCACAGACTGATGATATCTCAGGACATTTAACAGAAATAAACTAATTGTTGGAGTGGAACCTGAGACATGGAGGAGTGGGTGGCCATTCTATCCTAAATTGTTAAGATGACAGCTGTGTTGAACTTTTAGGCAACTAGCTGTCTCCAAGGAACCTCTGGGGATTTTTATGAAATTTCTCAACCCTCAACCCACAAACAGACCGACACTGTTATCGGTGCAGTTTGTGCTGGATCACACTCCTTCATCACATTTCCCTGTTACGAGGGCAGTGCTGCAGCCTGGGGCAGGAAGCTTTGCCAACATAGTTAACTTCACCTAGGTGCAGGGCACTGTAGACTGTACACACATCATGTTGACAGGGCCATTTCATAACAGCCAAGTTCGTCGATAGAAAAGGATTCCATTCCATCAATGCACAAGTCATCTGCAATGATCATCACTAGCACAACTTAGAAATATGCATCATGTACCCTGGAAGCTGCCATGATGCAAAAAACTTTCAGAACTCTCATGATCCTGCTGCGCTTGAGGGACCAAATATCTTGCAAGGATGGTTACTGCAGGACAGGGCCACCATCTGCTACCATCTACAAGGCGCACTGCAGCAACTCAACAAGATCCTGGAGTGGAATCTTTCAAAACCAGGATCTTTACCACCCAGAGACACAGGGGCAGTAGGTGCATGGGACTACCAACACCTCCAAGCCGAACAACATCCAGACTTATAAAATATGATTCCGTTCCCGCATTGTCATTGGGCCAAAGTACTGAAACATTCAACTTAACAGCTTTATGAGTGTAAATACACCAGCAGTGGCTCAAGAAGGCAACTCGCTACCAGCTTCTCAAGGGCATTTAAGGATAGGAACAATGTATTGGCTTTCCCACTGAGTCCCATCTTCCATGATTGATTAAAAAAATACACTTTTCCAAGTACAGTTCATCATGCACCCCCAGTTTTTAACACTCCACCATTGGTGGATGTGCTCTCAACTACCTAGGCCCTCAGGTCTGGAATTCCTTCCTTCAACTCCTCCACCTCTCCTCCTTCAAGATACTCTTTAAACTGACCTCTTTGGTGAATATATTCACGGTCACTTGTCCTGATATGACTCAGTGTCAAATCTGGTTTGATTAAAATCCTCTGAAGCACATTGGGGTGTTTTATTTTATTACTTTAGATAAGAAAGTTGTCACAGTTTAATGCAAGTTTCTGGTTTCATCTTTTCACATTGCTTAATAGCATTTTTTTGGTAAAGATTATCAGCAGGATGAGTTTGTCCTTGATGTATGCAACTATATAACATTGCAGCTTCTCTATTATGATCAACTATGCGTTTAAGCCTTAACTTTTCATTAATTATGGACATTCTGCAGAAGTAATTTCATACCCTCTCAAGAATGTCAGGCTGTAGATAAATAAGACCAATAGAAAGTTAAAATCCTCTGAGGGGCAATTTAAACTAAACGGAATTTATTTCTTCACAGAGCCCGCCTTATCTTAGAGAAATGAAAGGTAATTATAAATCTTGATAACACTTTAGACTGACAATGAAGTATTCTTATTCCTTTTGATTTTGACCAAGATTTTGTAGATTACTCGATGCCAGCAGTTGAGGTTTCGTTGCTTTAATTCCCATGGAATTGTCATTGACAGGGGTGGGAGGGATATAGGAATTTTTGCCCTGAGTTCCCATCTAAAGCTGTGACCTTTGCCCCTATGCCTGTCTCAGGCCTTTGGAATGCAATGGAAGAGTAATTGGATTTTTCTGTGTGGCACTGAGTACATATTTCCCAAAGTTTAAATTAAGATACTTGAACCTAATAACTACATAATCCAGGAGATGCCAGTGTTTTGTATTTGCCCTGCGCCGAAGATGGTGTGTGTTGTTTTGAGGCCATGCCGAGCCCACTTTGTGAGAGGAAGGACCGCATTTGCATTCGCATTTGCCATGCAATTTTTTCCCAGTGGCTGCTCATCAACCTTGGAGTCAAGACCAATCCTGACATTAGAGTCCTCCCGCAGAGCGATCTTTTCTTCTTTTGGGATGTCAGTGACTTGGAGGAGACATCGTCACTTGATCAAGAGTTATTTTTACACTGTTCAATCTACAGATAATTGTCTTGGGAGGGCAGGGAAAGGTGGAGTTTGGTGGTGTGTTCTGTCTATTTCTAGACCTGTAAATTGGCCAGAATCAATAACCTGATTCATTTCACTGACATTTGCTTTCAATGTCAGCAATTACTCAGTGGGTACCCTCTGTGTCGGTGGTTGCAGATTTACACTTCAAAGACCTCAGCACAATATCTGGGTCAGTTCTGGGGAAGTGTTGCACTTTAGGAGATGCTGTCGTTTTGAAGAAACATTGAACTATGAAATATCCCAAGGCATTGTAGTAAAGAGCAGGGGTGACCAGGCCAATATTTATATAAGATCAAAATACAGTGGATGCTGGAAATCTGAAACAAATGCAAAAAGTGCAATTTCTGTCTTTGGTCCAATATTTACCACTGTAATTATTAATGTAATTTAACCACATTGGCTTAGAAATAAGGCTGATTTTGACTGCGATCATATAGAATGGCATATGGTGAATCGACAGTCTGCTTTACAACTCTCCTGCTTTGGTTCCAATGTTAAAAAATCTCTTCCAATAAATTATTCTTGAAAATTATTTACGGAGGTGGGTAAGTTGAGGACTGAGTGGCTGAGGGACTAACACTGTTTCTCAGGTTGCTTTTAATTATCACTGGTGCATGCAATATCTGATGTGTGCAATTAATAAACAATGTAGGTGTGCAGGAACTTTTTGAAAACAGTAGGTGCATGAATTTGACATTCCGCCAGCAGCACAGCAAATGTCCACAGATTAGTTGTATATTGTAATTCCTGAATGGCTAACTGAATCAGAGCAGCAGTCAACAAAGCTAAGTAGGATGTTAAGCTGCACGACTAATAGATAACCAACACCTAATTCAAAATCTGTTTGCGAGACAAATGGAATGAACTTGGCCGTACTCCCAATTTGCTGGAAGGTTTCAATGTATTGACACGATGGCAACTTGAGCAGTTAATTCCTGACTGGGTTGGACTACCTTTCATTGCTGGCCTGTGAACTCGCCTGTCTCAGATCATAGGCATTTGGTTCAGTTTAGCTGCAATTTTAATTCCATCAATGAAAACAGACAAATCATGCCACATCTGGTATGGGGGTGAGGGGGTGGTGAGGAAGTTACCCACCCTGACCTTGATTTTCAGGGTTAAATCCCAGCAACAAGTCATTAAGTTATTTTGGCACTATCGAAAATTAACTGCAGAGCGTGGTGACTACTGGCTCATTAACACTCAGTCAGAAGGCTCTTGGAATTCAATGCCTGGCTCAGGTTTCTCAGGTACATTTGTTAAAAGTTAATGGGAAAACCAAAATCAATACAATGTTTTTAAAAGCATAAAATAAACAGTGGCTGGAAACTACTCCCCCGGGCAAAGAAAGACATTGCAATTTACAGACAGAGGGAACTGAATGTATGTCTGTTTTGCACTAGACTTTATTTCTACCACAGAGAAAGTGGCCAATAATTTACAGGAGACAATGACCTACTGAACACTGTTATCTTTTAAGTTGTCTGGTTCCATCTTGCAGAACGTTTTTGGAACCTTTTCATTCTTTTTTTTATTTTGGGAAAGAGATTATATTATGTCATTATGCTGGTAATCTTGAGGTGCAACAGTGTTGGGGCATGGATCATTCTTGTTCCTCAAATGTATCATTCACCTCTTATTAGAAAGTCAGGGTGCACAGTTGGAAGCGTCAGTTTTGGCTGAGACATTAGACTGAGGCTCAGTCTAATCTCTCGAATAACCATAAACATCTGATGGACCCCAGGGACCTCTCCGCATTGTCCTGACCAATTCTAATCCTGCAAATAACATCACCGGAACAGATTGGTTATTATCATGTTATTGTTTGCTGAAAAATAACAGAAAGAACATGTACACACATCGTGCTTGTTTCAGCTCAACAAAATAGGTGACAACCATTCGCTGGTTCATTTCTCAGGACAATGCTATGACTAGAGTCATAGAGTCATACAGCACAGAAACAGACCTTTCGGTCTGACTCATCTATGCTGACCAGGTTTCCTAAACTGAACTAATCCCATTTGCCTGTATTTGGCCCATACCCCTCTAAATCTTTCCTATTCACATACCTCATAGAATCATAAATCCCCACAGTGTAGGAACAGGCCATTCAGCCCACCAAGTCCACACTGACTCTACGAAAAGCATCCCACCCAGACTCATCCCCCCAACCCCATCCCTGTAACCGTGCGTTTCCTACAGCTAATCTACCTAACTTACACATCCCTGGACACTACGGGCAATTTCCCATGGCCAATCCACCTCACCCACACATCCTTTGGACTGTGGGAGGAAACCGGAGCACCCGGAGGAAACCCACGCAGACACGGGGAGAATGTACAAATTCCACACCGACAGTCGCCTGAGGCTGGAATTGAAGCCGGGTCCCTGGTGCCGTCAAGCAACAGTGCTAACCACTGAGCCATCATGCTGCCCCAAATGTCTTTTAAATGTTGTAGTTGTACCCGCCTCTACCATTTCCTCAGGCAGTTCATTCCGTATATGCACCATCTTCTGTGTGAAAACGTTGCCCCTTAGGGCCATTTAAAATCTTTACCCCCTCAGCTTAAACCTGTGTCTTCTAGTTTTGGACTCCCCTACCCTGGGGAAAATGCTTTGGCTATTCACCTTATCTATGCCTCTCATGATTTTATAAACCTCGACAAGGTCATCCCTCAGCCTCCTACACTCCAGGTAAAAACATCCCAGCCTATCCTGCCTCTTGTTATAACTCAAACCCTCCAGTCTCAGTAACATCTTTGTAAAGCTTTTCTGCACCATTTCCAGTTTAATAACATCTTTCCTATAGCAGTACTCCAAAAGTGGCCTCAACACTGTC